AAGGCAGTGTAATACTTACCTTGAGTTAATTACGTAGGGTGTAGAGTAGTTTATCTAAATAGCTTTTTAGGCTGGGCGCAGTGGCTCACGCCTGTAATCCCAGCACTTTGGGAGGCCGAGACGGGCGGATCACGAGGTCAGGAGATCGAGACCATCCTGACTAACACGGTGAAACCCCATCTCTACTAAAAATACAAAAAAAAAAAAAAAAAATAGCCGGGTGTAGAGATGGGCGCCTGTAGTCCCAGCTACTTGGGAGGCTGAGGCAGGAGAATGGCGTGAACCTGGGAGGCGGAGCTTGCAGTGAGCTGAGATCGTGCCACGGCACTCCAGCCTGGGCGACTGAGCAAGACTCCGTCTCAAAAAAAAAAAAGAAGAAAAAAAAAATATAGCTTTTTACTCTGGTGGTCCTAAAACCATCCTTTGATAACTGAGGGTGCATAATTGCTCTCCACTTGGGAGGTGAGCAATGTCAATTACCCTCTAGTGGTGTTTACTCAAGACCTTTGTCATTTATGTTGAATAAAAGGGAGCGTCTTTGCTGGCTGATCAGGCCATAGCTGCAACTCTTTATAGCACTCTCCTTGGTGTCTGTAGGTGGCCCGGACCCTTAGCTGGACTGACAGGCAAAATATCTGTGTCTGTGTATGTTATTCATCTGTCATTGGGTCGGGGTCTGCGGGACAGAACCCCACAGCTGGCGCCCCATGTGAGGAATGCTGCGAAGGATCACGACGGGTGCCCCAAAAATGAAGGTGAAAAGGACCACAGTCAGTGAGTCAGTAAGTCAGTGGTGCCTGCTTGGCATTTCCAAGTTCGGGGAGCGGGGGATTGTTCAGGCTGAGGTTTCTTCACGGGACAACAGTTATCAGCTCAACAGAAACAGTATATAAAAGTATTGAAATTGCTGCTTAAGGCTAGTGGAGTCAGGGTTTCGCAGGCTCAATTAAGGGACCTAATGAAAACTGTTGTAACCAATAATCCATGGTTCCTGAAAGAAGGAATGCTAGATGTAGAGCTCTGGGAACAAGTGGGAAGAAATCTTAACATCAGGCATAAGGTCTATGGGTCCCAGTATCATCTTTAACGTATGGGCCTTAGTAAGGGCAGCTTTGGTCCCATTATGCACAGAAGAGCCTAAAAAGGGGAAGGAGGAGGAACTGTCACATACTTTACCACCCCAGAGTTCCTCAGCCCTGCTACCACTGGGGAGAAATAACAAAGAGGAAACGGAGGTCTCGCCTGAGCCTCCTCCTCCAATAAATAGGAAAAAAGACAAGAGATACGCTCCAGCTGTGGGACCTTGTGTTAAGCAAGCAGCATTAGAAGGGGAGCTTTCAGCCTGCCTGGTAGTGCAAGACCGACAAGGCAATCAGGAACATGAATCCATTTCTTGTAACGCTTATAAAGAGCTAAGAAAAAGCATTAAAGAAAATGGAGCCACTAGCCCATTTACAAAAGGAATGACTGAGGACTTGGTAGACAACTTCCATATGACCCCATGGGACTGGTCAATGCTAGCTAAAACAACCGTGGAGCCTAGCCAATACCTCCTTCGGAAGGCAGAATACAATGAGCTGTGTGACCAACAAGCCAATGAGAATCAGGCGGGTGGGCAAGACATAACAGCTGCTATGCTCCAGGGGAGGGGTCCCCATGCCGATGTACAACAACTAGACTTTGATCCCTAGGCCTATGCTCAAGTGTCTTTGTGCGCTCTCAGGGCTTGGGACCGAATTCCCAAAAGCAGAGTTCAACAGGGATCTCTTATAAAATTCAGCAAGGGCCTCAGGAGCCATGTGTTGAGTTTATCAATCAGTTAACCCAGGCAATTAAGAGACAAATTAGTCATGCCCAGGCCACCGGTATCTTATTGGTGCAATTGGCTTTTGAAAATGCTAATATGGATTGCCAGCAAGCAATGCAGGCAATCAGAGGAAAGGCAGCCACAGTTGGGGAACTTATATGAGCATGTCAGCTGGTGGGAACTGAGACACACAAAGCCAAAATATTGGCTATGGCATTAAGGCCTCCTAAAGTAAAAAGGGAGAGAAGCCAAAGTTGTTTTCTATGCAGAGAGCCAGGTCATATGAAGAAGGAATGCCCCCATAGTAGAGACCAAAGTAACTCAGGGAAAGAACCCCCTTCTATATGCCCCCAGTGTAAAAAGGGGAAACATTAGGCAAATCAATGCAGGACAAAATTTGATAAAAACGGAAACCCTGTAAGCAACCACATGGGAAACTTCATGAGGCCCCGCTACAAACAGGCAATGCCAGCAGCTTTCCTCTGTCAGATGGAAAGCCCACAGTCTGCTCTCTCAGAGCAGGCACCACTGGGAACGCAGGACTGGACTTACTCTGCCCCAGTGAATTAGTGCTTAAAGAAGGAGAAGACCCTAAAAGGGCTGCAACCGGGATCTGGGACCTGCTGCTTCTGGGAACAGTGGGATTAGTCCAAGGATGGTCTAGCCTATCCGGTAAAGGAATTAATGTGCTCATCGGGGTAACTGATAGTGATTACCAAGGTGAGATATTGGTGATGATGGAATGTAAAGGTCTGCATATTCTTCCTCCTGGATCAGAGAGCTCAGGTACTGATTTTACCATACTAGGTCCCCAAAGCCCACAGAAAGGAAAGGGGAAAGGGAAGTTTTGGAAGCACAGGAGCCACAGGAGCATACTGGAATCAATTAATCACTGACCAGAGACCCATGATTACCTTAAAAATTGGAAATAAGAATTTTACTGGCTTACTGGACACAAGGGCAGACATTTCAATTATTAGTGATCAAAACTGGCCAGAAACTTGGCCCTGGGTCAATCAGAAACAAAAAATTGTTGGCATTGGGGAAGTACACACAGCCAAGCAGGGCACGTGCCCCCTAACATGTTGCAATTCAGAAGGAAGAAAGGCAGTTATACAACCTCTAATCATGCCCATCCCTGTTAATCTTTGGGGAGGGGACCTATTAGCTCAACTGGGGGTCATTCTACAGACCCCTTTCTAACAAAGGCCACTGTTATTATTCCTCCCCTACCCTGATGTGGCTCTTTCAAGATCCTATTTGGGTAGAACAGTGGCCTCTGAAAGCAGAGAAATTACAGAGGGCCCGTGAATTAGTTGAAGAGGAATTAAAAGCTGGGCATGTGGAATCATTTAATAGTCCTTGGAATTCACCCATTTTCCTCATTCCCAAAAAGTCTGGGAAATGGAGATTTTTGCATGACTTATGTGCTGTTAATGTCAATTTGCAACCCATGGGACCCTTTCAGCTGGGGCTCCTTTCCCCCATGGTGATTCCTCAAGATTGGCCTATAAACGTTACTGACTTAAAGGAATATATATATATATAAAATATATATATATATATATATATAGTACTTTAAGTTCTAGGGTACATGTGTACAACATGCAGGTTTGATACATAGGTATACATGTGCCATGTTGGTTTGCTGCACCCATCAACTCATCATTTACGTTAGGTATTTCTTCTAATGCTATCCCTCCTCCAGTCTCCCATCCCCCAAGAGGCCCTGGTGTGTGATGCTCCTTGCTCTATGTCTAAGTGATCTCATTGTTCAATTCCCACCTATGAGTGAGAACATACAGTGTTTGGTTTTCTGTCCTTAAAGGACTGTTTTTATATGATTTCCTAGCAGAACAAGACAGAGAAAAAATTGCATTTACAATACCAGCTATCAATAATGAAATGCCAGCTTATCAATTTCATTGGGAAAGTGCTTCCTCAAGGAATGCTAAATAGTCCTACCATGTGTCAGTATCATGTAAATCAAGCTTTGCTACCCAGTAGAAAAAAATTTCCTGATTGCAAGGTTATTCATTTTATGGATGATATTCTACTGGCAGCCCCAATGATCCAATGCTTTTAAATTTATTTACCTCTGTCATAAAGAATACACAGCTAAAAGGTTTAATCATTGCACCTGAGAAAGTATAGATGTCTTCTCCTTGGAAATATTGTGGGTACATACTAACTTCCCAGTCAGTAAGACCTGAAAAGGTTAAATTAAATATTAGCAACTTACACACCTTAAATGATGATCAGAAATTACTAGATGATATCAACTAGCTCCGCCCCACTCTGGGTATATCTGTGGATAAGCTGCAAAACCTGTTTTCTACCTTAAAGGGCAATACAGCCCTAGATTTTCCCAGATATTTAACCCCTGCAGCAAAAAAGGAAATAGAACAAACCATCTCTCAGAGGCAGCTAGATCACATAGATCCAGTCTACTCAATTCAACTGTTTATGTTTCCCATCAAACACTCCCCTAAAGGGTTAACTGCAGACCCCAGGATTATGCTTTCTAGAATTTTTTTTTTTTTTTTTTTTTTTTTTTTTTTTTTTTTTTTTTTTTTTTCTCACATACCAGGACTAAAACACTATTTCCCTATATCCAGTTACTTAGTAAAGTCATCTATTCAGGCTGCAAATAATGCAGTCAGTTGCTAGGTTATGATCCTGATATCATCAGGATTCCTTTAAGTAAAAAGCAGTTAGAAGCAGTATTGCCCTTATCGATGCAAACAGCACTCTCCAATTACACAGGACAAATAGAGCATGTCCTTCCTGCTGATAAACTCCTTCATTTCTTATCTCATACTCCTGTGATCTTGCCTACACAAATAGTTCACTCCCCCATACCTAATGCTTTTAACACTGTTTACTGATGGATCTGGTAAGTATGGAAAGGCAGCAGTCTGGTGGAGACGACATAATTCATTCACTTGATCTGGATTTACTAGCACTCAAAGAGCTGAGATTGGAGCCCTGGTATTGGCCTTGGAAACTTTTTCCACTCAGTCCATCAATATTGTTAGCAATTTTGCCTATTATGTTTATTTATTGCAGAACCTTGAAACAGCCCTAATTAATTTCACTCTGGAGCCCACCCTATGTGCTCTTTTTCTTCGACTTCAGCAATTGCTAGATTAATGTATACATCCTATTTTTATCACACATATTTGAGCCCACAGTTCACTGCCTGGCCTATTGGCTTATGGCAATGATCAAGCAGACCTTCAGGTTACGACATCACTGCTTGACCAAGCCACCCAATCGCATCAATTTTTCCACCAAAAGTGGAGACACTTATCTAAACAATTTCAACTTTCCCAGAGACTAGCTAAACAAATTATCCTGCAATGCCCAGATTGCCAGCTCACAGGCATGTCCCCACCTTCAACAGGTATTAATCTTAGAGGACTAGAACTCAATCAGTTATGGTAAACAGATGTTACACACATCCCTGAATTTGGAAAACTTAGATACATACATGTATCCATTGATCCCAATTCTCACTTAATTAGTGCCCATGCTTTGCCTGAAGAGTCCACCCAATATGTCATTAAACATCTTCTTTTAACTTTTGCATTTATGGGAGAGCCCACAAAAATTAAAACTGATAATGGTCCAGTTTATGCGAGCTCACAATTTCAACAATGCTGTTACATGTGGAATATCCAATATTTCACAGGCATCCCATATAACCCCCAAGGACAGGACATAGTGACCGTGCCCACTCCACCCTTAAAAATATGCTCAAAAAACAGAAAAGGGGGAGTATGGGTAAAGACCCTGCAACACTACTAGCACAAGCCTTATTTACCCTTAATTTTTAAAATTTAGATGACAAATTTCAATCAGCCATAGAAAAGCACTTTGCTAAAACCTCTCAAGACATAAAACCTGCAGTTTTATGGAAAGATATAAACTGTAACATATGGTGTGGTCCAAATGAATTATTAACTTGGGGAAGAGGGTATGCTTCTGTCCGCACCCCCTCAGGTCCTCTTTGGATTCCAGCACTATGCATCAAACCATACCATGGCATGGCCAGGACCCAACCTGGTACCAGAAATGAAGGAACTGACCTTACAGGACCCACAGCCCCAGATGATGTGGCTTCTGTGGAAGACACAAGCCCCGGACATAACCTGGGGTATGCTGAAGAGGACAACTCAGGAACAAATTCTGCTCCAGACACAGACACCATTCACTTCAGATAATTTGTTCCTTGGTATGCTCTCTGTTGTACATTGCAATTCACATAGAGTACTGATCCTTTTTAGGCCCTCACTTTGACTGTAACCTGTACCTGCTACACTCTATTGGGCTCATATCTTAGATCTGCCTTTCTTAGTCCTGTCACCTAGGCTTTAATAACTCAACTGCTTGGCTAGGAGGGATAGATTTACCCCCCTGTGGGGTCCCTCATTAATGGCACACATTGGACCAAGATGCCAGATAACACTATGTATCACTCTGATATCCTCCCACTATGTGTAAGTTATAAAGGTTCTAACCCTTACTGTGTACCTGCTCAAACACAATTATGGCTACATCATGGCAAAAGAAATGCCTTAACAGTCTCATCTGCAGGTAGCCTTAAACCGGGTAATGTAATCAGCGTTGCTTTCCCAAACATTCCTTCCTGTGCTCAAGGACAAAGTCAGGAAAGTAATGGATTCCACTTTAGCTGGGAGGTCTGTCACGGGGGACAAGTCCGTAGCCTCCAGTTAGGCAATGGTAACATCTTAGACTGGAGCCCTCATGGCCATTTGCAGGGCAGCCTTACTGATATCCACATCCATCATGGCATCAATCACAGTTTCATAGCCTTGTCCCATTCCCCTATGATTTGGGCCAATGGGGGGATGGGATATTCCAGACCCCAAGTAAAGTCCATGCCACCCCAAGACACTTTATGGTGCCTGGGACATCTTAGTACCTCCTTTGACACTTGGCATGGGACATATCATAATTCCAGTAACAACTATACTATTACCTTTATTCATAATCACACTGATCAGTGCCTTATTTGCATTACCCATCCATATGTTTTCCTTATGGGAACTAATATTTCCACTACACCCCAAAACTCCACATTTGTGACCTAGGTGCAGGGACAGGCTTGGTTTGCCTCATGTATCACTAATTACAATATATCTAATTCAAATATTACTAGTGTCATGGTATTAAGGAGACAATCTGAGGCATTCCTATCAGTCAATTTGACATGTGATTGGCAAGGTTCCTCTGCCCTTGCCACCTTAGAACGTACCCTATCCCAGGTCAGACCCAAAAGATTCATAGGCACACTTATAGCCTTTATAGTGTTGGCCATAGTCATCCTAGGAACTGCTAGTGTGGCTGTAGCATCTATTACTGAATCAGTAAAAATGTTTCTGTAGATAGTTTGGCCAAAAATGTGTCTAATGAACTTCTCTTACAGCAGGGTACAGATCAAAAGATTCTTGGCCGGACGTGGTGGCTCACGCTTGTAATCCCAGCACTTTGGGAGGTCAAGGCGGGCAGATCACAAGGTCAGGAGATCGAGACCATCCTGGCTAACACAGTGAAACCCCATCTCTATTAAAAAAAAAATACAAAAAAATGAGTTGGGCGTGGTGGCAGGCACCTGTAGTCCCAGCTACTCTGGAGGCTGAGGCAGGAGAATGGTGTGAACCCGGGAGCGTGAGCCGAGATTGTGCCACTGCACTCCAGCCTTAGTGATGAGTGAGACTCCATCTCAAAAAAAAAAAAAAGAAAAAAAAAGATGTTTGCATGTCTGCAAGCCCTCGAGGCTGTCTTGGAATATGTGGGGGAGTGACAAGATGCACTGGCATTCTGTCAACAATTAAACTGTGACTGGGAGCATAAACATATCTGTGTCACTTCTCTACCATGGAATCAATCAATACATAGTTGGGATGAGGTGAAACAATACCTCTGGGGAACCTTTCATGACAATTTAATAGCAGATGTAAAGCAACTTAAAACTAAAATTTTAGAATTCCTTCACACAATACATCTACACACCCAACAAACAGCCATATGGAAGGGTATGCAAGATCATCTCTCCTGGTTAGATCCCCATCCCTAGGGGTTACTCTTTGACTGGAAAAGAATGTTGCTAATTATACTCATGATTGTCTTATGTTATTTGCTAATACTAGGATGCAAAGCTGGAATAAGAGCAATGACCACCTCGCTAGACAGACTTGTTGCTGCACACATCTGTACCCTTCAGTCAACAGAACCCGATGCAAAGAACAGAAAAGGGAGACATGTGGGATTTCAGACAGACTGGTGGTGTGTCTGGAATTTATTCCTTCTGGCGGTTTCTTGGTCTTGCTGACTTCAAGAATGAAGCTGCAGACCTTGGTGGTGAGTGTTACAGCTCTTAAAGGTGGTGTAGACCCAAAGAGTGAGCAGTAGCAAGATTTATCATGAAGAGCAAAAGAACAAAGCTTCTATGGTGTGGACGGGGACCCAAGTGGGCTGCCACTGCTGGCTGGGGTGGCTGGTTTTTATTCCCTTATTCGTCCCCGCCCACATCCTGCTTATTGGTGCATTTTACAGAGTGCTGATTGGTGTGTTTACAATCCTTTAGCTAGACATAGAGCGCTGATTGGTGCATTTTTACAGAGTGCTGATTGGTGCGTTTACAATCCATTAGCTAGACACTGAGTGCTGATTGGTGCATTTTTACAGAATGCTGATTGGATAGGCAGAAAAGTTCTCCAAGTCCCCACCCGACCCAGGAAGTCCAGCTGGCTTCACCTCTCAGTGGGAAAAATTTTAAAGATAGTTTTACGAAAAAGATGCAAACCTTCTTGGAAGGCTGGTTGGGGACTGGTTTGCATAAACTCCACTAATAGATGAAGCTGAAGGCAGCCTAATCCTTACCTTGAGTTAATAGTTTAGGGCACAGATACAAAGGAATGTAGAGTAGTTTATCTAAATAGCTTGTTTACTCATGTGGTCCTAAAACCAACCTTTGATCAACCATGGGTGCATAATTGCTCTCTACTCAGGAGGTGGGCAGTGTCAATTACTCTCTAGTGGTATGTACTCAAGACCTTTGTCATTTAATCTATACTGAATAAATGTGAGCTTTGCTGGCTGATTGGGGCCACAGCTGCAACTCTACAGCACCCTCCTTGGTGTCTGTAGGTGGCCCGGACCCTCAGCTGGACTGACAGGCAAAATATCTGTGTCACTGTATGTTATTCATCCATTGTTGGGTCAGGGTCTCTGAGACAGACCCCCACATTAACTCATTCAGTATTAACTCAAAGGTCCAAGTCCAAAGTCTCATCTGAGACAAGGCAAATCCCTTTCACCTATGAGTCTGTAAAATCAAATATGAGTTAGTGACTTCCAAGATACAGTGGAGGTATAGGCATTGGAAAATGCTCCCATTCCAAATGGGAGAAATTAGCCAAAAACAAAGGAGCTACAGGCCCCACGCAAGTCTGAAATCCAGCGGGGGACAGTCATTACATCTTAAAGCTCCTAAAAAATCTCTTTTGACTCCATGTCTCACATCCAGGGTATGCTGATACAAGTGGTAGGCTCCTACAGTCTTGGGCAGCTCTGCCCCTGTGGAATAATCAGGCCCCCTCCCAGATACTTTGATGGGCTGGCATTGAGTGTCTGTGGCTTATCTAGGCACACAGTGCAAACTGTCAGTGGATCTACCATTCTGGGGCCTGAGGGACTGTGGCCTTCTTCTCACAGCTCCACTAAGCAGTGCCACAGTGGGGACTCTGTGTGGGTGCTCCAACCCCACGTTTCCCTTTCCACACTGCCCTAACAGAGGTTCACCATGAGGGCTCAAACCCAGCAGCAAACTTCTGCCTGGACTTCTGTAGCAGGTGTTTCCATACATCCTCTGAAATATAGGCAGAAGTTCCCAAACTTCAGTTCTTGACTTCTGTGCACCTGCAGGCCCAACACCATGTGGAAGCTGCCAAGGCTGGGGATGGCACTCTCTGAAGCAACAGCCTGAGCTGTACATTGTCCCTTTTTAGCCATGGCTAGATGCAGGGCACCAAGTCCCAAGACTGTACAAAAGTAGCAAGGTCCTGGGCCCAGCCCATGAAACCATTTTTCCCCCTAGGACTCCAGGCCTGTGATGGGAGGGGCTGCTGTGAAGGTCTCTGACATGCCCTGGAGACATTTTCCCCATTATCTTGGCAATTAACATTTGGCTCCTAGTTACTTATGCAAATTACTACAGCAGGCTTGAATTTCTCCCCAGAAAATGGGTTTTTCTTTTCTATCTCATTGTCAGGCTGCAAATTTTCCAAACTGTTATGCTCTGCTTCCCTTTTAAACATAAGTTCCAATTTCAGATAATCCCTCTCAAGTTTAAAGTTCCACAGATCTCTAGGGCAGGGGCGAAATGTTGCCAATCTCTTTGCCAAAGCATGGCAAGAGTGACCTTTGCTCCGGTTCCCAATAAGTTCCCCATCTCCATCTGAGACTACCTCAGCCTGGACTTCATTGTCCATATTACTATCAGCATTTTTGTCAAAACTATTCAACAAGTCTCTAGGAAGTTCCAAACTTTCCCACATCTTCCTATCTTCCTCTGAGCCCTCCAAACTCTTCCAACCTCTGCCTGCTACCCAATTCCAAAGCCGCTTCCACATTTTCAAGTACCTTTATAGCAGTCCCCCATTCCTAGTACTAACTTACTGTATTAGTCCGCTCTTACACTTCTATAGATACTACCCAAGACTGGGTAATTTATAAAGAAAATATTTGATTCACAGTTCTGCATGGCTGGGGAGGCCTCAAGAAACTTACAATCATGGCAGAAGGAGAAGCAAACACCTTCTTCGCAAGGTGGCAGGACAAAGTGTGCGTGAGCACAAAAAAACCTGCCATTTATAAAACCATCAGATCTTGTGAGAATTCACACACCACCATGAGAACAACAAGGGGGATACTGCTTCTATAATCCAATCACTTCCCTTTCCCTTCCTTGAAACATGGAAATTATAGGTCCTCCCCTTGACATGTGTGGATTACAATTTGAGATGAAATTTGGGTGGGGACACAGAGCCATACCATATCAATTCTCTAATCCTTGGAATTTGTAAATGTTACCTTATTTGAAAAAAGGATCTTTGTAGGTATGATTAAGTTAAGGATCTTGAGATTTAGGGCACTGTCTTGGATTATCTGTCTGGACCCTAAACAGCATCATTAATGTCCTTGTAAGAGGGAGATCTGACACACAGAGAAGAGTAGAAGGCCATGTGACCAGAGATGCTGAGATTGGAGTAATGCAGCCACAAACCGAAGCCGGAAGCCGTCAGAACTTGGAAGAGGCAAGAGATCGATTCTTCTGTGGAGGTGATACCTTCATTTCTGTTTGGTGAAACTGATTTTGGACTTCTGGCATCCAGAACTGTGACAGAATACATTTCTGTTGTTTTAACTCATCTAGTTTGTAATTTGCTTCAGAGGCCACAGGATGACTAACACAGCACACTGCTTATGACTGTGGATTCTCTTCTCACAGGCCTACATCACTCTAACCTGAAAAGGGAAAGAAGGATGTGAAGAAAATAATATAGGAGGAGGAAGAATGAAGAAACAGAGGGCAAGAAAAAGAAGAGACTAGGAAGAGTAGATGAAGCAAGATAAAGTGGAGGAGAAATCTCTTTACTGAATGGTAGGTCATATACAAATTATACTGGGGGAAAGTGAAATTTGGCCCCTAAATTCCACATCTACCTACATGGTGAACATTGAGGGTATGCCTAGGTCCTAAGAGGAATTTGTCTTTAAAAATCTTCATGAATCATTTAACAGTTTTAATGGTAACTGTGATGAGAAAAATTTCAGTAAGCTACATTAAAACTGTTAAATGATTTATTTAACTAAGGGGTCAAAACAGTGACCCGTTAGTCATCAAGCACTTAGGGCTGATTTGGCAATGCTACACATCCTTCAAGATTCTGTTCATAATCTACTTCCTCTATAAAGTCTTCTTTGACGTCTGCTTTTTCCATTTTCTGAAGTTGCATTCCATGCACAGGAACTATGTCTGTTATTTCTGCTCTTCCAATAATAACAACAAAAAGCCCACGGATGCTGCTAAATATCTTAAAATGTACAAGCAAATACTTTCGATAGTTTTAAATCTCCTCCAGCAGTCTGCATAGGGCAGGACTGTAATAGAGTCCTTGTGGTGACTGACGGACTAACCACTATTCTGAGGCCAATAATACAGATGGTCTCATCTGTTTCATCTTGTATCTTCTACCTACATATCATACTGCACAATGATGATTGGTATTGAGAATTATATCCCTCAGGCATGTCAGGTCTAAATCATAAAAAAATAGATTGATAAAATTCATTGTCTTGCTACTTGAGAAAAACTACTCATATATTTTAGGAAGATTTCCAACTGGAAGAATTGAAGCCAGGATGCATGTCTCATCATCCTAATTTAATGCAATTAACTGCAACCCTCAAGTCCCAAGTATTCAAAGCATCAGAAGAATTGCTTTATTAACCAAAGATTCAAAGGGTTAGCCTATAAATATACCTGAAGGTACCTACTTTCTGGTATTGATTTCCCACTGCGTGACAAGTCTTAGCATAAACGTGGTATAAAACAAGCTTATTTTTTAGTTGATTATACGTTACCGGCTTCAAATTGCCCAGAGGAAAGTCAGGATTCGTGGGCTTGTTTATATTTTTTACATTGCTCATTTATATCCAGTGTAACTGAAATTGAAGTTCAGTTCTGTAAACTATCCCACAGTATGTACTCAGATAACTGCCCACATGCAAAACATTAGGTACACACAGGGCTAAAGAATTTAGTCAAGAGGCTGGGCACGGTGGCTCATGCCTGAATCCCAGCAAATGGATTACTTGAGGTCAGGAGTTCAAGACCAGCCCGGCTAACATGGTGAAAACCCATCTCTACTAAAAATACAAAAATTAGCCAGATGTGGTGGCACACGCCTGTAATTCCAGCTACTTGGGAGGCTGAGGTGGGAGAATCGCTTGAACTCAGGAGGTGGAGGTTGCCGTGAGCCCAGATGGTGCTACTGCACTCCAGCCTGGGCGACAGAGTGAGTCTCTGTCTCAAAAAAAAAAAAAAAAATTTAGTCAAGGACACACAACTGTTTGTAATCCTTCATGATTTTACATTTAATGTTTATTATTATTATTATTATTATTTTTAAGCATAAGAAAACCAAACCAAAGGCACATTGTTGGCATTCCTATCACATCAAAACAATGAATATAAATCACATCACACAAGTAAGAATCAGAAATATAGAGAATGGGAATAAGTTAAACAAGGAACTCATTAACATACCTCCAAACAGAAAACTAG